GCGTGGGGGGGGGGGATTATTAACAGTTTTTAAAGCAAACTTGGCCTGTAAACAGTTGTCCATCCCGGTGTCCCGCGCCAGCTTTGAGCTGAGCGCCTTTGAACTCGGACACTCTCCTACGGTTCTGTGCGCGCTCGTCTACCGTCCACCTCGTTCTAAGGATTTCATAAATGAATTCTCTGACTTTTTGGCTGATATCACACAGAGATACACTCACTTTTTGCTTATTGGTGACTTTAATTTGCATGTGTGTTGTCAGGAGAAGCCCTTAGTGAAGGACTTTCTGGATTTATTGGACTCTTTTGGCTTAGCTCAGCAGGTGAGCGGCCCCACCCAGGAACACGGTCACACGCTGGACCTCGTTTTAACACGCGATGTCTCTGTTTCTAATTTGAAAATCGGTGACAATGTTTTTTCAGATCACATGCCTGTATTGTTTGACTTCGCCCCCCCTTGTCCTACTGCTAAGACGTGCGTTCCTGTACATACGCGTTCTATTAACGGTTTCACTGCTGCTCGTTTTAATGAAGGTTTTAATTCTGAGAGGATCGAACAGTTCCCGGTGTCTCTTACCACTGAGGAGTTAACCTCTCAGTTCAACTCTGCCTGTTTAGATGTTCTGGACCGTGTTGCTCCCCTTAAGACCAGAAAAACAAAACTTAAATCAGAGCCCTGGCTGAATGACGTCACGCGAGCCGTTAGGCGGCAGTGTCGCAAAGCTGAACGAAAGTGGAGGAAGGACAGGCTGCAAATTTCTTTTCAAATGTTAAGGGAGAGTTGGCGTCACTATCAGAAAACCGTTAAAGCTGCCAAATGTAAATTCTTCTCTGATTTAATTGTCTCCAACTCCCACAAACCCCAAGTTCTTTTCTCCACCCTGAACTCAGTTCTACACCTCAGTGAGCCTTCACCTCTGGAAGCCTCAACTGAGCTGTGTGAAAACTTCCTCCATTTCTTTTTAGAAAAAGTGGCATACACCCGGGCACTCATTTCTCCACCAGCTCATGATCTGTCCATCCCATCTCAGTGTGTGGCTGTGTTTGACCACTTTGAGCCCATCTCTCTGTCCTCTCTGGAGCAAGTAATGTGCAGCATGAAGCCATCTGGTTCCCCCTTTGATGTGGTCCCCCCTCGACTACTAAAGGAAGTTTTTCCTACCCTGGGTCCTTTTATCCTCGCTATTCTGAATAGCAGTTTATCCTCAGGTGTGGTGCCAAAGACTTTTAAACATGCTGCTGTCCAGTCCCTCCTGAAAAAACCTAACCTTGACCCCTCAGTCATGTCCAACTTCCAGCCTGTCTCCAGACTCCCATTAACCTCTAAACTACTGGAAAAAATTGTGGAGTCTCAGTTGAAACAGTTTTTGGGGGATCACGCTATCGTTGAGTTATTCCAATCTGGCTTCAAATCTCTCCATAGCACTGAAACTGCTCTACTGAAGGTTTTTAATGACATTTTCATATCCACAGACGCAGGTGATTCTGTGCTGCTTGTCCTATTGGACCTTACATCTGCTTTTGACACCATCGACCACAACATCCTCATTTCTAGACTGGAGCAGTGGGTGGGCATCACAGGGTCAGCCCTTAAATGGTTTGGGTCCTACCTCTCTGACAGAACCTTCTGTGTCAATATAAAAGATTTTAGTTCGGCATCGACAGCGCTCCAGTGGGGGGTACCGCAGGGGTCCATCCTCGGTCCCCTTCTCTTTTCTTTATACCTGCTGCCACTAGGTGCTATCTTCCGCAAACATGATATACCCTTTCATTTCTATGCCGATGATTGCCAAATTTACTTCCCCCTGAGGCACAGAGGCACACGCTCTATTCAGCCTCTTCTTGACTGCCTGGCTGACATCTGGGACTGGATGGCTTTAAACTTCTTAAGCTTCAATGAGAAGAAGTCTGAAGTCATGCTGTTCCATCCCAGTGGCTCACTCATGAACCATGACATTGACCTTTTCTCTCTAGCCCCGCTAGAGAAACAAAAGGTCACTAATCTGGGGGTGATAATGGACCCGTCCTTAAAACTCAACAGTCACGTAAACATGATGGTCAAATCCTGTTTTTTTCAGCTGAGACGGCTGTCTAAGCTGAAGCCTATACTCTCCAAAAAGAACCTTGAGACAGTGATCCACGCCTTCATAACATCTAGGCTTGATTACTGCAATTCACTTCTGTTTGGAATCAGTCAGTCCTCCATTGCTCGTCTACAACTGGTCCAAAATGCTGCAGCCCGATTTTTAACTGGTACAGGCTATAGAGAGCACATCACGCCAGTTTTGGCCTCCCTGCACTGGCTACCCATTCACCTTCGGATCCATTTCAAAATTCTCATGTGTGTTTTTAAATCACTGAACAGTTCCGCCCCATCCTATCTCACTGATCTTCTGCAGCCATATGTCCCACCGCGCTCTCTGAGGTCAGCAGACCAGATGCTTCTCTCAGTCCCAGAAACCCGTCGTAAGCTCAGAGGTGACAGGGCTTTCTCTGTTGCAGGTCCACGACTGTGGAATGAGTTGCCACTGAGTGTCCGGCAGGCTCCCACACTCTCAGTCTTTAAGTCTCGCTTGAAGACCCACTTCTATTCGCTTGCCTTTAACACGGTGTGATTTGTTTTGGTCCGGTCTGTTCTCTACTCTGTTGCCATTTTAGTTAGCTTCTGCTGCTATTTGTATCTGTATTTCTATTTTATGTTTTCCTGTCTGCTGTGCATGTTTGGTTCTTTTGTACAGCACTTTGGTTGGCCTTGTTGCTGTTTTAAGTGCTATATAAATAAATTGGTATGGTATGGTATGGTAGGTCCGCTCGCCGCCTTAATCCTTGCCAGGCCAGGTGGGCACTGTTCTTCTCTCGTTTTAACTTCACCCTGTCATACCGACCCGGTGAGAAAAATGTTAAACCTGATGCCTTGTCACGTGTTTTGGAGGAGGCTAATTCCCCCTCAACTCAGGAGGAGAGCTTTATCCTTCCTGAGAGTGCTCGCCTGGCCATTACCCAGTTAGAGCTGGACCTGAGGAGCTCCAGCCAGTCACGTCCCCCTCCTGCCAACTGTCCCCAAGACCGTTTGTATGTACCCACTAACAAGGTTTTACATTTCTGTCACAACTCTGTTATTTTGTCACCCCGGTTTCACTAAAACATTATCTCTTGTCAGAGCTCAGTTTTGGTGGGAGACCATGTCCAGAGATGTCCGTGCCTATGTGCGTTCTCGTCCGGTGTGTTCCCAGTCCAAGACCTCCAGACGCCCCTGTTCGGGGTTACTTCATCCCCTTCCTTGTCCATCACGTCCATGGTCGCACATAGGTATGGACTTCATAACCGGTCTCCCACCTTCCAATAACTTCACTGTCATTTTAATCATCATTCACTGCTTTTCTAAAATGGTTCACCTAGTTCCTCTGCAGAAGCTACCCTCCTCCAAGGACCTAGCCCACATTATGGCTCGGGAGGTTTTTAGGCTCCACGGACTGCCTCAGGACATTGTCTCAGATTGGGGGCCTCAGTTTGTCTCCCACTTCTGGAGAGAGTTTTGTGACCTCTTGGGCATTTCCGTTAGCCTCTCCTCTGGCTTCCACCCTGAATCTGATGGCCAGACGGAGAGGGCTAATCAGGAGGTGGAGGGCAAGCTGAGGCTCCTCTGTCAACAGGATCCAGAGAAATGGAGCTCATCACTGCCCTGGATCGAGCATGCCCTTAATTCTGTTCCCTCCTCAGCCACCGGTTTGTCTCCCTTATGTTGTTTTTGGTTTTCAACTGCCTGCAGTCTCGGTCCAGGAATGCGAAGCCTCTGTCCCCTCAGCTCACATGGCAGCCCTCCACTGCCAGAGAGTCTGGAGGAGGGCCAAAAAGGCTCTCTTAAAATCCAGGGCGAAGTAAACTAGAAAGGCTGACCGCCACAGAACCCCACAACCCAACTATGCCATGGGACAGAGAGTATGGCTGGCCACTAAAGACCTTCCTCTTAAGGTCTCGTCCCTCAAACTCGCCCCCTGATTCATTGGACCCTTTCCCATTTCCAAGGTTATCAACCCTGTGTCCGTTCGTCTGACATTACCCAAGTCCTTACGTGTTCACCCTACTTTTCATGTTTCTTGTGTTAAACTGGTCATTTCCTCCCAGTACCACTCCCCTTTTCAACTCAACTGGCTGCACCTGTCTCTCTCACCCTTTAAAAGCTGCACTCTTTCTCCTCTTCGATGCCAGGTAGTTGAAAACAGTTCACTGCAAGTAAATACCTCACGTTTATGATCCTGCCTTGTTTCCCCAGAGCCTTTGTGTCCCCTTGTTATAATTTACCTGTCTCCTTGTTCCTGTCCTGCTCCTGGTTCTTGTTCTCCCCTCTTGGCTTGACCTCCCGGCTCATGGATCCACGACTCACCTGGACATCGTCTCTCGCTCGACCCTTTGGATTATTATGTCTTCTGCTTTCGGTTCTGACCTTCTCCTGCATGACAACGCCTCCTCGTCTTCTCCTCCAGTACCTCCTGTCTTATGCTCTCCAGTTTTGGACCCTGGCTTGTGTGACCACGTCTCTTAACTCAACAGACTCACCACTCACCTGTTGCTGCGGCCGGTTTCAGCCCCTCACTGGACTCAGCCTCTCCTGCAGAAACCCGGATCAGTTTGGACCTCATCAGTCTCCAGAACCTTCAAGCTCATCTGAGAAGGTTAGCAGTCCTCCTCATTCTGACTTTTGCTCTCCATCATCTCCTGCACGACCACTAACCGATCTCTGTCTCATAGACTCGTTCCTGATCCGGAACCAGAACCCAAAACCAGTACCAGAACGGGTCCAATCTGCTACACTTAACCTTGAAAATAAATATAATTTAATTTTGACTTTTTGTGTGGTGATTTTGGTCCAACCGTTAGGTGGTTCGTTACATGTCCTGTACCAGTCTAAGGTGTCCTACTGTCCTCATATACATCCTGTACCAGTCTAATGTGTTCTACTGTCCTGAAAATGTTTGAGAATTTTAACAGAGAAGACAGACTCACCGAATGACGGTCGGATAAAGTTCTCCAGTGTAAAGGTAGCAACAGTTGAAAGAAGCAGCAAGACAACCTTTACCAATCACAGCCAGACAGGTTCGTATTGTGTTTTTATCTGCAGGGAAAATGAATGCTCATCTCTTGTTTCTACAGAACATATTTCAGTGTAGTGGTGACAATAACAAAGAATGTGCCACTAAGGTTTCTGCACGTTCAAACCTACCATAAGGAACTAGGATGTTGATCAAAATAGGAATTCCTCCAATAATGAGAGCGCCGCTTTGGGACGTCCGACGTCCAATAAAGCTCATGCACCCAGTCATTACAACCTTAGCAGGGATGTCCACAGCTCCAAAGATCACTTGTATCAAGTAGATGTCCACACCAAACTTCTGAAGGTCCATAGCAAGGCCATAGTATGCAAAACTGGTTGAAAACCTAAAAATACACAAAGAAGTATAAAGAGAGAAATTATTGAAGTTTTATTAATTTCCTTATTTGTTCTTTAATAAGAACGTGACATGCACCCAACAACACCGAGGCTGATGGTGATGATTCTCATTTTGGATGTGCGGAACAGGTCAAGGACAGAGTACGACCCCTGGGCACAGGACATCTCTTTTTTCATGGACTCTTGGAGCATCTATGTGAAATAAGAGAATATGTTTTAACTCAACACTGGAAGTTTGTTGATAAAACACCAACAGGTATAGCTGTCTCACTTCAACATCGATCTTCTCTCCCTCCTCATGGCGTCCGTTAAACCTGGCCACACTTTTCAGAGCCTTGACGGCGTGTTCAGGCTTATTATTTAAAGCTAACCATCTGGGGGATTCATGTAACCACCTGAAAAACAAAACACACAGACACATGTTGATGATGTATTACTACAGTCCATACAAAAAGTTTGCACACAGGCATGGTTGTCATGAATGTCCAATTGATATATGGTTTTAACGTTTTACTTGAACTATTCTTTTTCCAGAGTGGAAAGATTAGACAACATCAAAGTTCAATGATGTTTACAGATGTGATTTTCATTTATAGATTTTAATTAAATCTCAAATGTTATACACACACAAACCCACTCATGTTTAGATACATGTCCCTCAGCCACATGTTTTTATCACTGGTGCATCCAGAAAATTTTAATGGAGTGGGGTGTGTTTGGGGTTTATGATGGGCACTGAAAATCCTGGGGTTGCACAGCAAAACTAAAAGCCATATCAGAATTTCATATTTGTTATGTTATTTATAGTTTAAGCAATTACAGCAATGCTTAATAATCACCTTTTGATATGCATACATCTACTTTAATTTTTTTAACCTACTGTTGATATTAAGAAAAGCATGATCATAGTCAACTATTTGAAATTTGTCTTCACTTAAATTTGTAGTTTCATGTACATATATAAAAAAATTTGGTAAAACTTCTTGAAACCCTGCATACTGATGTTCTGATGCATGCACAATAATCCAAGTAGATAAATCTAACAAGGTTGAGTTAGGTCGTCTAGACAGTCTCTTCTTTGTTGAAATGTTTAGCTTTTTATCCAAAATACTTCTTCAGGAGCTGCAAAAAGGTCTTATAAATGGCACCTTCTCATAGTGGATCAACCAGTTTGCTGGTGACAGACAAAACTGTGTTCATACTCGTATGCAAAGGGAGGATCATCAGCCTAACAATTGATTGTTAGAGCCCTGATGGCGGCTTTCTAGCCCACAGAGGGCTGATATTTGCAATAACAGCATTATACAACTATAACAACTTAACACAAAGGTTCTGCCCCGTTTAACGATTGTTAGAGTTCTAATGGTCTGATGGTCCTCTTTTTGCATGTGAACAACTAGTTTCCTCTGTCATCAGCAAGCTGGTTGATCCACAATGAGAAGATGAAATTTAAGACTGTTTGTTGCAGCTCCTGAAGAAGTCTTTTGGATAAAAGACGAAACGTTTCATCAAAGAAGAATACATCCAAAGGACCTGACTCAACCTTGTTAGACCTGCTTCCTGATGTTGAGGACATTGGTTTTACAATGTTGTCCATTCATGAATGATGACAAGATGGTGCCTATGTGTAGGGTTTGCCGTACATAGCTCTCTGCTTTGGTTTTATTTTTGTTAGTTGTACAGTGTGTTATGCAGAGTATCTGCACATATCTTCAATATGATAGTCGGGCACTTTTGGAGTTCCGTAGTTGCAAAATTGCCTGCGGAGATTATCCACAGCGGTCGGGGCTCTCTCCCTCCAGTCCTGTCCGGGATACCTGCCTTCCTGCTTCGGGACCCTAGCCCATCTCCCTGGAGGAGACGCCGCAGATGTCGGGTAAAGCGCGCTCGAGTTTTGGTGAAAATGAGGCACTGTTTGGATTATTCTGCCAAGGATGCTGGGGCTCGTTTTGGATCTGGATCTGATCCTCGCCTCGCGAACCCATGGTGTGTCTGGGGCCCTTCTGTTGGCCAGCTACCCACACGTCCAGACTATGTAAACCATGTAACAGTCATGTAAACATTATTGTTAAATCCTGTTTTTTCCAGCTGAGGCAGCTGTCTAAGCTGACGCCCATATTGTCCAAAAATAACTTGGACACAGTAATATATGCATTCATAACATCCAGGCTCGATTACTGCAACTCGCTCCTGTTTGGTATCAGTCAGACCTCCATTGCATGACTACAACTGGTCCAGAATGCTGCAGCCCGATTTTTAACCAGTACAGGCAAAAGAGAGCACATTACACTAGTTTTGGCCCCACTGCACTAGCTACCAGTTCACCTTCAAATCCTGTTCAAAATCTTTCTGTATGTTTTTAAATCACTGAACAGTTCTGCCTCCTCCTATCTCGCTGATCTGCTGCAGCCGTATGTCCCACTGCGTTCTCTGAAGTCAGTGGACCAGTTGCTTCTCTCAGTTCCAGGAACCCGTCTTAAGCGCAGAGGTGACAGGGCCTTCTCTGTCGCAGGTCCAAGACTTTGGAACGAGTTGCCTCTACCTGTCAGGCAGACCCCCTCCCTCACAGTTTTTAAATCCCGCTTAAAAACCGATAAATATTCCCTGGCTTTCAACACTGTATGATTTGTGTTAAACCTACATGTATGCATCATACAGGTTTAACACAATACATACCCTCACACATACCCTCCTCTCAGCTCCATCAGGGACGTCTCTCTGAAGCTGGCTGTTAAGATAATGGAGTACGCTTATGAGCACAACATGGCCACCCTTCGCCCCGAGCCGTCTGACAAAGAAGCCTACGTTCACTCGATCTGCTACAGCACCGACTACGATGACTTTGCTGTCGACTCGTACCGCTGGCCGGAGGACTGCATGGCTGTGCAGTCCTGCAAACTTTGATCCTCAGAAACCACAAGAGCCCTGAAAAATGATGTGCACTGTTCTTGGAAGACATGGTGATCTTTTCCTGCACTTTAAATTAAATGCTGACAACACAAAGAAGATCAGTTGACAGAACTGTAAAGGAATGCACAAATGGTTGTTTTCACAGTATTTAAAATATCTGGGGGAGTCTCTTTGATTGTACTGTGATGGGAATTCACTGCCTGTGTCTGCTGAAATCTTAGATAAGAAAAGCTTTTGACAAATAAAGTTTTGTTTAAAAAAAAAAAAAAAAACCTGTATGCATCACACTGTGTTAGTCATTATGTAATTATCTGTTGTTATTTTGTTTCTATATTTTTATTTTACATTATGTATTGAGTTGCTGTGTGCTCTGCCTGTTTGTTTCTGTTTGTACAGCACTTTGGTTGGCCCTGTTGCTGTTTAAAATGCTCTATAAATAAAATGGTATGGTATGGTATTCAGTGAGACAAGATTTTAGGATTTATTCAAAATTTTAAATGAAATAAATATTTGTATTTTTGACTCATATTTGATCAAAAACAAGATTTGTTTTTGAGGTTTTTGAGGTTTTAGTAATCAAGTACAAAAGGGGACTCAGGATAATACTGTGTTAAAAGGGGGCAAGTGGAGGAGGGGCATGTTTTTTTTGGTATTGTGGCCATCCCACCCCCAATCCCCCTTGGTGGCACCCCTGATTTTTTTAGCCATCAACCAGGCATAATCTAACAATAATCTGTCCTGATGTTTGTAGGTAGAGTACTTTTGAAAAATTATGTGTTAGTACTCCTGCTTCGTAATTCTATCTACTTTGTATAACGCACCAGTACCACAGTATGATGCTACCAGCACCATGGTTGACAGATGCTGCAGTGTTCTTAAAAAGCTTTATCTCAAACTTTGTCTCATCTAAACAAAAATGTTTCTCTAGAAGACATCTGGTTGGTCCATGTGGACATCTGGATGGTCCATGTGGACATCTGGATGGTTCATGTGGACCTCTGGTTGGTCCATGTGGACATCTGGATGGTCCATGTGGACATCTGGATGGTCCATGTGGACCTCTGGTTGGTCCACGTGGAAGTTTGGTTGACCAGTGTAGATGCATGGTTGGTCCATGTGGACATCTTTGGTCAACATGGATGTATGGTTAGTTCACGTGGATGTCTGGTTGGTCCATGTGGATGTCTGGTTGGTCCATGTGGACGTCTGGTTGGTCAACATAGACATCTGGTTGGTCATCGTTGACGTCTGCATGGTCTATGTGGAAGTCTGATTGGTCAATGTGGACGTCTGGTCTGTCAATATAGATGTCTGGGTGGTCAATGTGGAAGTCTGGTTGGTCAACGTGGAAGTCTAGTGCATTTTTTTCTTCTTTTGGTTGCTCCCTTCTTCAGGGGTCACTACAGCAAACTGACTCGCACAAAGACTTGGCAATTGTTTTTACACCAGATGCCCTTCCTGATGCAACCACAGACACCAAGCTACCACAGCCCTCTGTGAGGAGCAAAGAGCTGCTATCTAGTGCATCTTTGGGAGCAGCTGATGGGGTTTAAGGGCCTTGCTCAAGGGCCTAGAGTGGTGGAAATGAGGGTGGAGGCAGGTGCGGGTGTTTCACTTTTCACACCCACATTTTTAATGTTGTCAGTATGGGTGGTTGAACCGGCAACCTTCTGATCACAGGCCCACCTTCTCTAACCGCTGTGCCACCACTTCCCAAAGGGATTACTTTAAGCATGAAATGTGTTCATATAAACAGCCATTCATCTTTACTAGTTTGCTTTACTTTATAGATCTTTGCTGAGTTCTTTGGACTTTCCCACTGTTCTAAGTAATGGTCTGTTAAATGAGGGCTGTTGAACAAATTATTTAATTGTGGGTAAAGATAAACTACTAGCTGCAGTCAATCATGATCACTAGCCAGAAGTTATTAGGTGTTGTTAAATTTAAAAACATTAAATAATCTGTGTGCGAGTAATTTTAAAAAATCTACATAAAATAAAAATTTGCCCAATTTGTCTTGTTTTAATTTAAAATAAGTAAAGTTGTATTTTGTAAAAATGTTCCACCCTGGAAAGATAAACGGACAACCTTCATGCCGATGACCAGTGTACTTGTGTTTTAAATAAAAAGTGTAACTTTTAGTTAGGAGTCTGTGATTCCAGCTGCCTGTTTTTAGTTCAGTGTCGCACCATGAGCAGAGGAAGACGACGAAGAAGGGCAGAGACACGGTCAGCGTTAACCACCTCCAGTCTCGGATGAAGTAAGCCACAGCTGCCAGGAGCAGCTGTCCGAACGTGTAGCAGTAACCTAACAGCATCCCAGAGAAGGTCCGCACACGAGTGGGGATCCACTCTACAGCTTTAAACAAAGACAGAATTCAATAAACAGCAAAAACTCAAGTTTAAGAGCTCAAACAGAAAAAAAGGGGGGACGAAGGAAAATATTTGTTAGTGAGAAGTTTTTGACATTCTCCTTCCTTTTTGACTCAGATGTCAATGTCGATAAAACCAGAACGTTTTGTTTTTAAAGATGTAGAAAATAGTTTTTCATCATTACTAATGAGTATGTGAATTATAAAAATATTTCAAACACTCAGCTTGTATGGAAATATTTTACTAAAGTCAAATTTCATATATTGGCCAGAAAAACTTGTGATGTTTTGTACCAGTTTCTGTACTGTTTAGCAACGTTTTATGATGACTACTTACAGTGATAGTGCAGATTATTTAACGTTTTTTGTTTCCTTTATGAAGTCAAATGTAATTACTGTTTAACTCGGTGAACAGAGAACAACTCGTTGAATGGCGCCAGTTTAGTTTAAACAGTTAACAGCTAGAGGATTGCTGCAACTCCAAACTCAAGAATTTCACAGCAGTTTAATTATGCACAACAGGTAAGATATTAACCAATCTTTAACTTTACATGAAATTCTGAGAACCTTTGTTTGAAGATGTTCGTTTTTAACCGTTACATGAAACTTTCAGTGACTCACCTACATCATCGACACATTCAATGTTTTTTTTGCAAACTAAATTATTTGTTACGGTTTTAGATGTCTTACTGAGTGAGAGTGTGTTGAGGCCGATGCCAGACAGAGCCATCCCACAACCAAACCTGAACAGGCAGAAGAGGGAGAAGGAGGGGGAGAAAGCAGCGCACGTTCCTGAAACTGCCACGAGCAGGTAGGAAACGATCAGGAGAATTCGTCGACCATATCTGGAAGATAATGACGTCAATGAAATAAATTGTTCATGTTGTACACTGCTTGGGTTTTAAATAAAGTTAGAGTTGAAAAGGTAAATCTTACCTGTCTGAGAGGCTTCCAAACACAAGAGCCCCCACGAGCACACCTCCCATGTAAATCGTTTGTCCCATTTGTTTAAACGAGCGCAGGTCACACACCAAATCCCACTATCACATCAAACAACATGTACAAACATCTAACTTGTGTTGAAGTCCTCGATGTGAAGCAGGTGGAGCGTGCAGCCATACCTCAGATATGAAAGTGGAGGTCCTTTCAGTCATGTTGTAGGACCAGCCGTCTGTGCATCCCTGCAGGACAACGTCCAGCTCGTCCTCATCCTCACCACGCTCGTCTGAAGCCAAACTCCAGTTCCTGTCCAAAAGGTGCCACTGTGGACTCACGTACCGCTGACATCTCTGAGGTTTCCCAACAGGATCCAGAGGGACGGTGATGAGCAGCGTCTCATCTGGGTTCAGCTGAGACCTGGAGAGGTTGGAGTGTGCTCTGCAGTGGTGAGGAGACTCCAAGGCCACAAAGTTCTGCAGCAGGTTATGACTAGCCACCATCAGGAGGGGAAGACAGAGGAGCGTCACATGCAGGACCTGGAAGCGTCCTGTGCTGCCCACCTGCTCCAGGAGGTCTGCAAACACCATGATTTTCTAGAGCTGGAGCTCCAGACGGCTTCTGAACACCCGAAGCACCGAGTTAAAACCGAGTTCAGATAAAACAAGTGGAGTTCAAAACAGATGAAAGAAAATTCAGGTAAATCTCTCCAAAGAACGTTGGTTCAAATGAAAGAGATCTACAATGAAACACCTGCGGTCAGTGCAGCGCATTAAAGTGAGTAATTGGCCCTGAAATTCCTGCAGGTTTCTCTGATTGTTGGACTCCTCGAGATCACTTCTTAAAGTATTAGCAGCTCTTTCTGTGGAGTAAAATGTTTCTGAGCAGGATGGAGTGAGCTGCAGCATCAGGAGAGCAAACCAGAATCACTCCCTGCTTATGTTGGACTGCAGAGACAGGTGTGCACACAGACTCATCTTTGTTTTTTTACCTGCGCAGAATGACACAAGAGGAAAGGAAATATTCAGTGAAGAAGAACAATGATTGACATCAGTTGCTAAAGATGCTGATCAATTTTCAACTTTTCAAATGAGCCGTGACCTTTTCTCCTCCTCTCCTTCCCGTTTCTGAACAAAAGTTCAAACTAAAAGAAAAGACGCAAAATCAAATAAATTCACAAATCTGCAAAACACGGGTACCTTAAACAGAAACTTTTCCTGCTTCCTGTTTACATCAAGTGTGTTATTTAAGTCAAATGATTTTAGTCTTGTTCAGCTGATACTCTTTTCAATTTGATTCAGTTCAGTTTATTTATATGGCGCTTGTATTCCTAAGATGGTCAGGCCCAAAATCCCAAACCTCTGTCTTGTCTGAGTTTAAAAGCAGAACATTTAGGGTCATCCAGGTTTTTATGTCTTTAAGACATGCTTTTAGTCTAAGTAACTGATTAAATTTATTGGGTTTCATGGTCAAATATAATTGTGTATCATCAGAATAACAATGAAAATGTATCCCATGCTGTTTATAACTTTACCTAATGGAAGCATATACAGTATAAGGTAAAGAGTATTTGTCCAAGCACTGAACCGTGAGGAACTCCATGACTAACTTTGGTATAGAATAAGATTCATTATTTACATTTACAAATTGATCTATCAGATATGATTAAACCAATTTAGAGCCGTTCCAGTAATTCCAATATCGTATTCAAGTCTCTGTAATAGAATATTATGATCAACTGTATGGGCAGCACGGTGGCGCAACTGGTAGAGCTGCTGCCTTTCAGCACGCAGGTCCCCGGTTCAAATCCCGGTCTGGGAACCTTTCTGAGTGGAGTTTGCATGTTCTCTCCGTGCATGCGTGGGTTTTTTCTGGGTACTCCGGTTTCCTCCCACAGACCAAAAACATGCATCTTAGGCTGATTGGTGACTCTTAATTGCCCCTAGGTGTGAGTGAGACAGTGAATGGTTGTTTGTCTCTATGTGGCCCTGTGATGGACATGCAACCTGTCCAGGGTGTACCCGCCCCTCGCATAATGATTGCTGGATATGGCACCGGCAACCCCTGTGACCCAAAATGGAAGAAGCTGGTAAAAGATAATGGATGGATGGATCAACTGTATCAAATGCAGCACTGAGGTCTAACAGGACCAGTGTAGACACCTGTCCGTTGTCAGAGGCCACAAGAATATCATTGGTAACTTTCATCAGTGCAGATTCAGTGCTGTGGTGAGCTCTAAACCCTGACTGAAACTCTTCAAACAGATTATTTCTTTGCAGATGATCACGTAATTGACCAGCAACTATTTTCTCTTGAATTTTTTAGATGAAAGTTAGAATAGATATAGGTCTATAATTTTCATTCATTCATTCAACCTTTATTTAAACAGATAAGTCACACTGAGCCTCAAAGACTCATTTACAAGTGAGATCTGTTTGGACAGACAATAAAAAGTGGTGAAAAACAACACATAGGATTTGGAGACAAAAAAACATTCCTAACACGCTTTTAACCTCTAGTTGATGGTTAACAGTGTGATAATGAAAAAAATAATAATCTTGCACACTAGCACATAATGACAACATTACGCAGTGGGGGACGCAAGGGCAGTGAGCATGTCCAGAGACAACACACAGAGGCACTGCAGAGTTCAGATAAAATCACTTAGTTCAACTAGTTGCCTCTGGAGAGATCCTTACACACTTGGGGGTACTGAGGATGGCCAAGGATGAATCCAAAGAGTCCTGAAATTATGACAGAATGTTTATTCAGCTGGGCCTCTCTGAGAAGTCCATGGAAATTCCTCAGTAGTAGGGGAGGGAGGGGTAGAGACATCAAGTTTACAAAACTTCCAGGCGTATTGAGATAAGACGGCCTGTCAAGGCCGGTCAGAGAGACAAATTCAGATAAACACAATTGTTTTGGGGACAGGCTGAACTTTAATGACATCTACAGTACCTTGAGTCTGTGTTGCTCCACTCGGTTCTGAAATGTCCAAATTAAATGGCCATACCAATGGACCGTGCCTGAGAATAATCCCCGAGATGTGATCCATTCTGCCAAAAGCATTTGAGTCTGGGTGCTTGAGGCACAAACCAAGCCATCATGAGGCAAGAAGCCTAATCGAGTCCAAATTTGCTGCAGATGACTTCCTTGATTGTAGATAAACCAGTAACCAGCCGAATCCAAAAAGCAGGAACCAGTTATCATAAATCCAATTATATATGCGTCCTTAAAATCCACAAATGGCAGCAGAGATAAACACATCATCAATCCTTCCAAGTCGATGAGATATCCAGCTGCGTGCATGCCAATAGGGCAAAGCGGCTCACCTAAAGCCTGTCTTCTCTTAAAATAAATGTTATCAATTGTGTTGAGGGACCAACTGACAAAATCCAAGTTCATAGTTATGTTTCGGAAGATTTGTAGAAGAGAGGCTTTAAGCAGTTTCACAGACAGTACAGAGCAAAAGCAAGAGAGAGAGGGGAGAAGAATACATCCGCAAGAGCAAGTGTTGAAATGATTGGCTGGGATTCCTGAGTCAAGGTTATGTTTCTCAAGTTAAGGTTTAATTACAGCAATATTAAAGCTCTGTTGTACGTAACCCTTTATTAGAGACAAATGAAACAGATCCAAGACGTGGTTATTAATTAAGGGAAATACGTCTTTAAATAGCCTGGTTGGGATGGGATCTAGCAGACATGTGGATGGTTTGACTGAAGCTATTATTTTTGGCAATTCAGAGTGTAGGGGTTGTGGTCTGTTTCTGGTGTCTAACCCCATCTTGTGTTGTGTTTATGTCTTGTGTTCTCCTTAGCCTCAGTTTCTGTTTTCAACAGGGTTTGTGTTTTCCTAGTGTATGCTTCCATCTAGTGATGTGTCTCTGTTCCTGCACTCCCTGGTTTCCCAGTTTATCATTTCCTCTGATCTGTTTCAGGTGCGTCCTCACAGGTGTTTTGCCTCGTTAGTTACTGTATATAGTCTGTGTCTGTGTTAGTCCTTGGTCCTGGCATTAAATGCTGTCCACAGGTCATGTCCTGTTTGCTCCTTGTGATCAATGCAAGTCTTGATGCACTGACAGCCTTTTTGATTTCTTGTTAATAAATACTTTATTTTATAATCTCCTGAGTCCTGGACTGCCTGCCTGCACCATTGAGTTTATCTGCACCAGTGCCCCCGTTATGACACAGAGAACTCAACAGGACAAAAACAGTCCAAACATAAATCAGGTTCTAGTGATATTTTTAAAGTTGCCTCATCCGACACGGAACCAGAGGTGATAGTAGGAATGTTGGTTTGAATATTTTTCCTAATTGAAATAATTTTATTTAGAACAATTCTCATGAACAAATCACTGCTTATAGGGATACATGTATCTACAGAGATGATTTTTCTTTAGACTACTGGTTATTTTTATACTCACCAAAATTAATATAGCAAAATTTTTCAAGAACAGATATGAGGAGTTGGATTATCTATCAAACTCTGTCTTACAGAGAAATAACAATCTTTAAATAATTTTAAATGACTAAGTGTGACCGTGGAAATAAGATGCATCTAAAAAAGACAAGAAAATGAAAACAATGTAATTTTTGAATAAATTAAAAAAACATCCAAACATGAAAGCTACTTTTCATGCATTTCCATTCCCCATCAGGTGACGGTACTTTGTGACATTTTTGTAGTGACTATTGGAGCAGATTTTCTGGTAAACGTCACCAAATTCAACTTTAATGATTTACAAACAGAGTATATTCAGCTGAGGTTTATGGATCAGAACACCTGGTGCTTTTTGTTGTTAAGCTTTGAAACTGGTGGATAAAAAAAATCTGCCACTTTTAACAAAGCAAATCAGACTTTTGTTTGTTTGTTTGTTTGTTTATTTTACATTGTGGGACTTATTCAAAGCTGAATGTTCAAATACAAATTATTTAGGAAATTTTAGTATTTTTTTCCACAAATATGTCATTTTAAATATTTTTCAGGGATTTAATTTTCTAGTTAATTTCTGTCAAGCAATAGTTCAGCTCTGTTAAAGTAAAATGCTGTGGGAACATAGTGAACAATCAATAACTTACCTGTTGCAGATAGCCCTTTATAGACAACTTAAGTTTAGAGAAACAGAAAGCTCTTTTATAAAACACCTCCAGTCTGGACTGAGATGCTTTCTGGCCACCTCAGTGTGATTCCTGATTGGACTGAGGCAGTGGGGGGGTGGGGGCGGGGGTGGGGGGTGCAGGGACGGTGTGTAGGGGTTGAAGCCAACCCGTCCCTGATGCACCTTTGTGCTGTGAAGTGAGGTAATACCAGGGGCAAACCAGCTGACATGTGTAAAGGTAAGCTGGCTTTGTGACTCCATAAAGTGATGAAGTGATAACATCTGGTCTGAGCGACCACCTGGCAGTGACAATAAAATAAACAACAAAATAAACAACAACAAACAGATTTATTACAGAGAGAAGACTGATGATGCACAGCAGCTTTACACTTAGTTTTAAAAAAATAATTAAAGAATTGTTCAAATGAGTTAATTCATCATGTTTTGAAAACAATACAGGGAAGTTGTCCATCACCCTTATTTTTGTTATTA